CACTTAGAACAAGTTGCCCTTGGAATTGTGTTACTAAGGTTTCAGCGACAGCAGAATCGACACTTCCATTGGGAACAACCAAGGGGCTCCATCATGTTCAAGTTGCCATATCTTCAAGAAGCGCTGTACTATTTGCTTTCAGTGGATGTTGATTTGTGCACTGCAGGTGAACTGAAGGATCCCGAGAACGGTAAGCTAATCAGAAAGACCCTAACCATCATGACAACGTCCAACAACATGGTAAGGTCCCTCAGTGGCTTTCGATGCAACAATCTACATGAACACCAGACCGTTGAAGGTAAGACCCATGTTCAAGGAAAAGCCATCAATCGTTCCACTTTCACTGAGAATTATCCCAGAAAGTTTGCCCGCAGATTAGCCATGTTGATGGGAAAAGTCCAAATTCCCCATGAACCTGTGTACAGAAATGAAGCATGGAGTGTACTCGCAGCCGAAGAGCATCCAGAAGCTCCAGCACCCAAGAGAGTCCGACGTGAGCGTTACACCTCTCTCAAGATCAGCCGAGTCCAGGATGTCTCCAAACTTCCATGGGGAAAACGGCAGAAGTGTGTTGGAAAAACCACCCCGATTGACAGTATGAACTCTTGGAAAAGGATCTTCGAAAAGTTACAACAAAACTTACCTAGAGTAGGAAAAACCGTAATCCACGATGATGAAATCCTTGAGTCCATTCAAAAGTTGATTCCAGAGAAGAACATACACACACTGATTGCCTGTAGGGGAGCCAGTAGAACTCTTGCCCCACCTGAAACACTAGTCAAGGGTCTTGCCCCATTCCGTAGAAGTGTTTTCACTGAAAGAGGGTCTGGGGAGATCCGTGCCGAAGAGGATTGGGAAAACTGGGAAATGTTGGCAAAGCGCAACCTGATTCGTCCATCTCATGCCACCCGAATCAACCTGACGATGTTTGGGAACACCAAAGAGCAGGTGTGTGATGTCCCCAGGAATGAACCCGAGACATCCAATGCAGAGCCATCCGTGCCAGACAACCGGCGCATCAATTCAAGTGCACCCGACAGCCAGGACTGTCTCGAAGAAGCCAATCCTGAAATGTCGCAACACCAAATGGAGACACCATGTTCCGAAGACCTCACTAGTTCCCAAAGAGCCGATGCCGGGAGCCAATCACATGGCACTAGATTCAAGGCTTTGCCCCGAGATGAACAGATTTCCTTGATCAGAGCTCACAAAAACCTCGGGCACCCAAGCCCGGAAAAACTTAGCGCTGTTTTGCGATCACAGGGGTACAGAGCCGAAGTAGCCCGTGCTGCACTAGATCTCAAATGTTCTGTGTGCCAGGAACATAGTGTTCCAAAGCTAGCCCGGCCCAGCACTCTGCGTGATGAGGGAGATTTCAACGACCGAGTGTGCATCGATGGTTTACAGTGGACTAACAAGAACGGCAAGTTGTTTCATGTGTATCATGTTGTAGACTGGTCCACAAGTTTTCAAGTTGCCCGAATAGCCCCTGATAGATCATCCGCCACCGCCATCCAGACATTGATCGACATGTGGCTATCTTGGGCAGGGTGTCCTATGGAAATGTTAGTGGATGCTGCTACGGAGTTTAACTCCGAAGAGTTCAGTACGTTTGCCCAGAAACACAACATTCGGGTCACCACTATCAGCCCAGAAGCGCAGTATCAGAATGGGAAAGCCGAAAGACATGGAGCCATACTCAAGACCATGCTAAGTAAATATGATGCTGAACATCCCATAGAACAATATCATGACTTAGCCCAAGCACTTTTCTGGTGTACACAATCCAAAAATGCAATGAGCTTGAAGCGTGGGTATGCCCCTGAAGTCCATGTACTTGGCAAACATACTCGTCTCCCAGGTGCTGTCTGCAGTGATGAATTGCTGCCAGCACACATGCTCTCAGAGTCAGAAACTGCCCAGGGTCTAGCGTTTAAGCGGCAGCTTGACCGCCGTGAATGTGCCCGACATGCCTTCATCCAAGCTGACAATGATGCAGCTCTCCGGCGTGCCATGCTGCGCCGATCACGACCCGGTGATCAGCAGTACAGTCCCGGTGAGTGGGTAATGTGTTGGCGACCAGGGAAGGGCACACAACCAGGATTTTGGGCGGGCCCCATGAAAATCGTAGTACATGAGAACCCTCAGACCATTTGGACCACCCAATGCAGTAAACTCTACAGATGTTCCCCGGAACATGTTCGTCCAGTGTCAGCCAATGAGTCCCGGAAAATACCATTAACCACCAATGAACCTTCAGTATCCACCATTGCACAACAATTGTCTAATTTCCAATCCCAAGGTATCACCAGAGCTATTGATAATTTTCCCTTAAATCCCATCACCAGCATTCCGATGGAGGGACCTACGTCCAGTCCGCAACCAAGTCAGAATGAAGAATCCTCAGAGGGTCAACCGGACATGGAACCTGAGATTCCATCCCATCAAACTACACCTTCCACCACCACGATCAATCCTGAAGAAAGCCATAATTCCCAGTTGAATGATCAACAAGTAACCCACAATCCAAGCCCATATGATGTAAACATCCCTGGTATTGAAACCCCAATACCTGACGATGAAGATGGTCTCACATGTGAAGGGATTCACTGTTTAGATGATGACGGGGACACAGGCTTGATCACCGACGGATCAGACATGGCATGGCGATGTGAAGTCGTGGTCAACGACAACGACATTCAGAGCTGGAAACAAGAAGGTCCCAGTGAGCACATGGCTTTTGTCGCATCAGCAGCCAAACGACAACGCTCTGAGGTCAAATTGCCCACGCTGACACAATCGGAAAGAGAGCAGTTCCAGAATGCGAAGGAATCCGAGATTCAAAATTGGATTAGGACCGGCACCATTTCAAGAATCTTACGGGATAAAATTCCTCATGATCAAATCCTACGATGCCGTTGGATTCTCACATGGAAACCAATAGACCCCGAAGATATTCCTGATAAATCCCAAGTCCAAAAGTCCAAGGCAAAGGCCAGACTTGTAATACTAGGATACTTAGATCCCCAACTTGAGAATCTTCCCAGAGATTCACCTACTCTGGGACGAAATGCAAAGATGTTGTCCCTGCAACTGATTGCATCCATGGGTTGGACTCTCAGATCCTTCGATATCAAGGCAGCCTTTCTCCAAGGTAAAACCCAAGGAGACCGAATATTAGCCATTGAGCCTGTACCGGAACTCATCCAAGCGTTGCAGCTCTCTACGACAGAAGTATGCAAGCTTGAAAAGGGAGCCTATGGTCTTGTGGATGCACCATTTCTCTGGTACCAAGCCATTAATGAAGAACTGTTGAAACTAGGGTTTACACAAAGTCCGTTTGACCCATGTCAATACGTTCTTAGACACCACCAAACGGGAAAACTAGAGGGCATCCTTGGACTCCACGTCGATGACGGCATATGCGGAGGGTCCTCATATTTCTCTGACAAAATCAATCAACTAGAAAAGAAGTATCCTTTTGGTTCCAAAAAGGCCCAACAATTCACATTCACAGGAATCGAAATGAACCAACAACCCGATGGAACGATCACTATGAAACAAAGCAAATACGTCAATGCCATTGAACCAATCAAAATTTCCACTGACCGAAGGAACCAAGGAGAGGAAAAAGTGACAGAGACAGAGAGACTAGAGAGACAAAGCCTGCGTGCCATCATCGGCAGTCTCCAGTATGCCGCTGTCCACACTCGGCCAGATCTTGCCAGTCGATTGAGCCAATTACAATCCGCAATTAACAGTGCAACAGTAAATACACTTATACTTGCCAATCAAACTTTACACGAAGCCAAGAAGCACAGCAGCACCACCATTATCATTCAACCAATCCCTGTTGATGACTTTCGATTTTTGGCTTTTTCCGACGCCTCCTTTGCTTCAAAGAGCAATCCCAGTTCCCACACGGGTAGCATGATCATGGGCACTCATAAACTGATTTCAGAAAATGTTTCTTGCCCAGTAAGTCCCTTGGCATGGGGCTGCAAGAAAATTCAGCGTGTAGTAACAAGCACCCTGGCCGCTGAAACAGTTTCGTTAAATTCTGTACTTGATCATTTGTCCTGGTTGCGGTTGTGTTGGGGTTGGATGCTAGACCCAAAGGTTGAATGGAAACACCCAAACCATGCCCTAGGTCAGCTCCCTGAATCCTTTTCTACAGCCACCTATAAATCCCAGAGGCTTCCAGATAGTCTAGCCGCCACTGACTGTAAAAGTCTCTATGATTTGGTCACAAGGACAGCTGTTCCCAATTGCGCAGAATATCGCACCATGCTCAATGCCCGGTCCATTAAGGATATGCTCCAAGAAGGAGTGCAACTTAGATGGGCGCACTCTGGGGCTCAACTTGCTGATAGCCTTACCAAAATAATGGACAGTGGTTTCTTGAGAGAAACTCTCAAGATCGGGATGTATAAGCTTCATGACGAACTGGAAGTTTTGAAGAGCCGTGCATCAACCAGAACACGACTCAAATGGCTTCGCAGTTCTTGCAAGGAACCTGATGCCGAAGGTTGCAATGATGAATGTTTTCTTTCATTAAACTATGATTTTTTGGGAGTGTGAATCTACATCATTGCAACCCCCGCAGTGCCATTTCCTTCCAGCTCACGATGCCAGGAATAATCAACAACAAATGTCTTACCACTTGGAGCACATTGGCTCAGGGTCAGCCTTAGGAGAGGGCATAGGGATAGGGAATCGTGCTTGCCATTTTTGCTTACTGGTTTATTGGCGTGGTCGCCATTTTGGAACTTAGAGCCTGGGGCTCATTCAGAACTGGAAGGCCTAGTTGGCCAAGCGATTCTTGGTGCCTTAATCCTAAGGCTTTTGCCGCTGTGATCCTTTTTGCGAGGTCTGACAAAACAGTTTGGCCGCAGCAGGGGTTTTTGCTTTGGAGGTGCTACCAGGTGATCTGACTAATTGTCAATCACAATATATATATATATTATACACTTTTCTCACCCAACCTTCTGCCGAGCCACTGTCTTCGGTCCCCGCTTCACTTCGCCCACTGCCGGCTGGCTTTTTGGGGAGCCCAAAGTGATGGTCCTGGGGCTAATGGAGGTGCCTCGCCTCGGAAAGCGCTGCCACAAGGTGGGTTTTCTTGGGGAAGCTAGGGGTTCAATGCGATTTTTCTGGGATTGCATGGGGTTATCATGACAAGCATTTCATGAGATTTTTTTAAGTGGGATCAAATGGAATGTCACGGAAAGTACCATCTGGTACTCAAACACTAGTCGGAACATCCCCATTTTAGTTTAATATTTTTTCCATCCATTAAGTGCGGGCATATCCCAGCGGCCCGCCATCCATCCCAAAAAACATTAAAAAACATCAGCATCATCGTCCTGGTTTTGGAGATGGAATGAATATGTTGCAATCAAATGAAAACAAAACATGTTACACACCAAAATGGATCAACAAGGGACATGTACCAACCCCGGGTTGCAACAATCTGGGCAGCCTACTCCCACATCCAAGGGTCATCTCAACTTCATGTGCATCAAGAAGTCGCATGTGCAAACGTGTCATCTCCTCAAAGATGGCAATGAAACCTGAAGGCCGCACCAAGGTCCGCTCCAGGTAAATCGGGCAATGAACATGGTGATTCATGTGGTGAAGCCAGCAATAAATATGCCATTTGGGGTCTTTTAGGGATTGTTTAGTATTGGGTTCCCCACATTGCTATGGATTAGACGGAATATGATGGAATAATCCAACCAAAATGAGGATATTAGCCCAATCAAAAATCACTGGCCCAGGTCTTCCATGGTCCCTCCCAGATCTCCCAGCCTTGCATGGGCTCGCGCGGAGGATCTTCTTTCACCTTGAAGGAGTCCAGACTTTTCCTCGGTGCCATCGGCAACCACAACAACTGCAACCTCAACAGCAAAAACAACTGGTTACTGCGGTGCAGAGAGCAAGACGCATGCAAATGCGCAACAGGTCGGGAAACAGCATCCAAATCATCTGTTCCCACTTGCGTGTCCAAAACATGACTGCGCATGGATCAAACATGACCAGACCAAGCCACACATCAGTTGGTGGACATCCTTGACCCAAATCCAAGAGAAAAACAGCAACACAAGTTGAACCAATCCATGATTATGGTTGGTTTCAACTGTTGTTTCCCCTTTTTGCTTTGTCGATCTTATCATTTTTCTGGCTGAATTCCAACTGAAAAAAACTGTTATCATGTGGCTGGCTATACATACATCATCATTCCAGGGACATCACGCAGTGAGGTCGCAACATAATTCATTATTTGAGTAACCCCTTATAATTAATCCTATTATCCTATAATCCTATCATTAATCCCATTATAATCCTATTATATTGTGGCTCTCCCAACAAACCTCCCACATCTCCGCCCCTTCGAAGCGTCAACTTCGACACGGGCGGCGGAGCTGGTGCAGCCTCTGGAGGCATTTGGAGGGCTGGTGATTCAGCCGGCATGGCGGCCGCTGGAAGCGCGGGGAAATCCTCCATGATCCTCCATGATGCGAACGACATATCGAGAAATGGCCTAGTTTCATCTAGTTTCCAGTGCCACGATGCCATGTTTGATTCCCAGAGGCTATTATTTGAAAGAAGTTTTGGAGCCAAGACGGCTGCGAAATTGGTGGACAACTTTGAGAAACTGCGAATCGAAGATGCTGCCAGTGGAGAACCACCATGTCGTTACAACCTGCTATGAGAAACAGGCTTCAAATGCTAGTGAATGTATGTGAATGTTGTTGAAATTACTGAATGTGGTATGTTTGCCACTGTTGGTTTTGCAACTAGATTCGCTCCTGGTTCAACTATCACTTTCAATACATCGTATGTTTCAACTGACCACACCATATCCCACCTGCACTGTTTATGGCTTCTGGGATATTTCGACAAGCGTGACCAGCTTGTCGTGAGGTCCAGTCCAAAACATGTTAAACACACCGCTGATCACTCTCACATCCAATTCAAAATCTACTCAATCTAGTGGCCAATATGGTAGATTACAATTCATTGTTTGGGGGTTGCAAGTTGCCCTCCGGTAAAGTAACATAGCTACGTAAAATTGCACATGTGTTAGTTTGTTGGAGGGTAAACCCGATTCAATCCCATTAAATCCCGATTTGTTGATGTCAGATATTTCAAATGGGTATCATTTCTGCGCTCGGCAAGATGAACATATCACTGTGATTTTTCACAGAAATCCCCCAGGGTGGGAGCTACAAAATGGCTTCCAACGATGATTTTTGTTTTTGTTGACCTGAAATGCCCTTCAAACTTTGAGCCCAGACTAAAACCGGCTAAAACAAACCACCAATGAACGCCAGAGATGTGGGCAACTGCCATTCTTTGGCCAACCTTTTTCAAATCTAGCGAGCCACTTTGAAAGGAACCTGCCACGAAAAGAGCTCCATGAACCTACCAACCCCAAAATTCACGTAGGTTAAGCCACACTTTCCTTTGATCATAGATGGTTGTAGGTGAATAGTTCTAAAGTCCTCCAAGTTCCCTGATCCCCAACTGCCCTGCCTTCAGCTGAGCCAAGGTTGCATCTTTGCTGATGGTGATGGGCGGAAACTCCTCGCCAGCTGCTTCGTGTGATAGAACTGGATAGCTTATAATGAAGAATGCATCATATGCAAAGTGTATAAATAAACAACACATACATAAATATTATATATATATATGCATACATATATATGTACATAATACATATATATATATGCATACATACAGTATACATACATTTATAAATACATAGATAAATATGCATATATATATATATATATAAGCATGTGTGTGTGTGTGGCCGCGTTTGCGTGCGCATGATATCGTGACATGTAAAAATCACATATATGATTATAGATGTTTATCCGTCTATCATCATCTATCCATCCTTTTTCTCCACAACAATATCAAACGTCAGCCAGTCAAAGCACAATATAATCAGGCAGCGCTGGTCAATCTCGATGGTCCATCACAATACCTTGTTGTTTCTTGGGGGTGAGTTAACAACCACGGCAAAGCGGTCAAGATGATCTTGAAAGCAATCATGAAACATGTGGATATGCGGGTGGACATAGAGATCATACAGCTTCAAGGAGCTTCATCTACCCGACCTGAAACACAGTTGTCAGCTCGAACTACAAACTACATCAGGGGAGCATTGCCATCGCATAATCACATGTGCCTTCACCGGTGGAACATGGAAAATATAAGGAAACATAGGTTCTGTGTCACTGATAGAAACAACATCTTGACGCACGACACTTGCTTGGAACCTGAAAACATGTAAATGGCCATGTTTAAAGAGTAAAGTCAGTCAGCTTGTCCATACCATCCCTTGGTCCATTCCAAATTTAGGTGTGATCCCCCTCTGGTCCTCAGCATCATCTGGCCTTCCCGAAACCCATTGCGGATGTGGGAAGGCCCCAAATGGCCGTTTTCACTACGGGACACTGATGATCAACCTTGGGATTTTGGGGTACCCATGGGTAGCCGATTTTCAACAAACCCACTTCACCCTGTTTCTGTATTTCTGTTGGAATGAAATGGCCAGCTCTCGTCTTTGATATGGCCATGTCTGTCTAACTTCTTAGTCTCTATGCTGCTTTGCCACCCACAGGGCAACAGTAGCCGGCCATTCTACTTGGACCTTTCAACCGGGTCCAATAGCCTTACATGATATTATATACATGCAGGTGGTTTTGAACTATGGACGATCTTTTTTTTTGTGTTGGATATATGATATATATATATATATACCAAATATATATATATAGATAGATAGATCGTAAAAGACGTGAAAGCGCCAACTTTGCCAACCACTCCCCAATAAATCTGGGCAAAAGCATCACCTGTCGCCCATTGCCGCCCTTCCCCCGAAAAAGATCCTCAAGATTCCGGCCTGTCGGGGTGGTTGAAAAACCTCGGGCTAGAGTTGGTGTCTGGGCCAATTGAACCAGGGGATGGGAATTTGTCCCAAAATGTTCTTCAACATATGCCTGGAGCAAATGGCATTATGGAATGGACCCCAAAACATCAACTATAGTGATTATAATGTGTAGCCCTCTGATTGCTCTGCTAAACCAATGATTAAACACATGTTTTATAAATCGTGGGTCAATCGCCCAATCCAAATCACAGAAAGTCATGTACACGCCATCTTTCGCATCGGACTTTACTTTCAATCTAGCTTTGTGATTCTTTGTGGTTGTAAATGTTTTATATAACTGCTAGTCCCATTTTATGGAACTCTCAACAATCAATCGTTACTCACAAAATTGTCAATCCCAAATTTCAACGAATTGCATTATATAATGAGAATAGTGCCACTAACTGGTAGTTGTCAATAACTACTTATTGGCTATTATTCTGTAAACATGGCAAATCTCAGATACTCTGTCATGGATTCCCCTACCTGTTTAGCTGGTAGTATATAGTTGCAATCCTTCTAAGAACAAAATAGGTGATAGAAACACTACTACACCACATACTTATATATATAGTACACTATCAAAACGGATGCCAAAATATACACCAAAGCGATGAACACCATAGAATTCCAAAAGAAATATTATTGTGTTTGCAGAATGGTTGCTATAATAATCTATACATATACATATATATATATACATATATATATATATATATAAATATGGTTCCCAAAATTAAATGGCTCCTACCCGGCGCCAGGCCACATCTGCGCCCTGTTCCGCTTCAGCTCATAGAGCTGCCTGGCTCGCGGTAAGGCACCTGGCAGCGTCCATGGGAGAAATCTATGGGACTTCATGTTAATTGGAGGTCTAGTGGTGGTTTTAATTGGAGTTAATGGGATTGTAATCCACTTCATGGGATTTATGGATTTACCCTTATGGAAAATGGATCAATGAACATGGCCCATTTATAGTTGATTTACCGATTAAAGTGGTGATCTTCTATGGCAAGCCTTCAGTTTACCAACAAATTCATGATTTCATGGGGATACCCCCTAGGAATTTTACGCTTGACCATGGAAAATGGATGAACATGGTCCAATTTAATTCGATGATTTATTATGATTGGACAATTATGATTATATTATGATTTACCTATCAGAAATGATGATTTTCACTTCGAAAACTCTTTTCCTCTTTTCACGTGCCGCTACCGGGTAGATTATCGTGGACAGGTCGATGAGACAGTCCCGCGGACGGTTGGTGAAAATTCAGATGATCATCCCGAATGTACTGTGATTCGCTCATTCAGAAGCCATAAAAATCATAAAGAAAAAACACCAATCATCACACATCCCAGTAGATTTCGAACATTGTAATGAATGGGAAATACCGAATCATGTTCAGAAAATCCATGTGTAGACATATATAAACTATATATATACACAGTATATATATATATATATATTGAAACTGACAACCAAAAGTGCCAACAACACAAGATTCCCCGTGCTGCCTTTTGTTGCCGCATGCTATGATGTAGCTTGAGCCACCGGGCACGGTGGAAGAGGTCAGGTGTCACATGTGATGACTGGACAGCTGGATTGATCGGTCGGCAGGCATGGTTTGATACTTACTTTCACACCCATTATGTTTTTCTGGCGTGAGATCAATCCAGAGCCCTTCCATCACCTGAGACAAAGTGCCGGGACGCATCGCCTTGGTTAGGCTGTCCGCGGCCATCTTTTCTGTGCATAGCCAGTGAAGCTTTGTCGTGGCTTCTGCTGGCAATTTGTCGGTGATCAGTGGATCACCTGTTTCTTCCTGCAGCTTTCGCCAGATTTGCTGGCGGATCCCTGTTAGATCTATCGCCAGTCTTTTGTCACTGGTCGAATGAAGACCCGGCTGGTTGACGTACTCCTCCAAGCTCCGGCAGTCTGTGAAGAGGTCCACATGGATGTAGTCCATCGCTTCCACCTGCCATGACTTGTCATACCGATGGTGTTCTCGGCGTAGTCCATGGAGTACCATCCGTAGATGTTCACATTCTTCCATTCCAGCCAACAGCGAAAGGGTCTCAGCTTGGAGAGTGCTGCGGCAGACTCTCTTGACCGTTGTGCTGTGCCAATCCAGCAACAGCAATGGTCCCTGACGAGAAGTCTTAAAGTCAGGACCACTCAGGCATAGGAGTCTTCCGCTTTGGCTCCTGAATCCTGAGGTCTTTCCAGCTTCATTCACTTCAGCATCATTTGCAAAGCTAGCATCTTGTAGTCCCACGATCGCCGCCTTGTCAAAGTCAAAGGCCTTGAGCGGGTAGTGCAAGCCAACATTCTTGGAGGCCCTGGCGATGGCGATCACCTTGTTTGCAAATGCCACATCTCCATATGTCGCTTGACTGACACGCGACTGCAGATAGTTCACCGAGTAGGCGAGGTCAGGGCGGCAAACCCTTGCCAACCAAGCTAATGAACCAATCACTGAGCGAAGCTGCAGTCTGTAGCTTTCAGTGACTGCTCCGTGTTTGTTCTTTCTTTCAGCTGTGCTCATGTAGATCGGCTTGACTCGATCTATGAGACTTGGGCAAGTCACATGCACGCCTGTGGAGTCCTTGACGATCTGACGTCCGCAGTACTTGAAGTCATTCTTCTCCACCTTGCCGAACTTGTAGATGTTGATGATCTCCTGCATCTTCTCCTCCATGAGCTTCTCGCCAGTCCATAGGATGTCATCCACATGCACAATCGCCAGTCCAGCGATTCCACCATTCTCATCATTGAGCACGAACGCAGCTTGTTCATGAGGTACAGGTCGTAGTCCAACCTTCATCGTTGTGGTGTGGAGGTTCTTGTACCATCCTCGAGGTCCATCTTTGGTGCCATAGACGGTCGTTGAGACCACATAGTATTCTCCTTGATCTTCTTCAGGTAAGCCTTTTGGCATCTTCAACACCAAAATGCGGTCCATGGCTGAACCTTGAAGGAAGGCCGCAGAGATGTCGCCGGCCCAGAGATCAACGTCTCTGCATGCTGCCATTGTCAACACTGTTGACAGCATGAGCTGACTGCAGGTTGGTGAGTCAGTTCTCATCCGGCTGGCATCTTCCAAATCACCTCGCACAACGATGCGGGACTTCATCACAGGTTCTTGTCCCACTTCTGCTTTGTCAACTTCGACCCATCTCGTTGGAATAACCTTCATCTCAGGGTGTTCCTTCTTCATCTGCTGTAGTTCAGCTTCTGAAATCCACTTCCCATTGGTGTAGGTCTTCCAATTGTTCCATTCTTTCAGACGTGATGCGTCGAGCTTCTTCTGGATCTCGGGCTCCTGTTTGTCATAGATCACCTCTCTGCCTGCTCCGGTCTTTTGATTGCGCTTCGCATACTTCTTCACCTTCGTGGTCACCTTCTTGTCTCCTCTGGTCGCGACAAAGGCGAACTGTTTGTCCTCCTTATAGGCCACGTAGGATCTGGGATATCCATCAAGACGTCCAGGATCGCGAAGTGCCTCGTTCAATGTGCCTGCTGGTACTTGATGATGTTGTTGATGTTGAACAGGTAGAGCAGAAAGTTGAGGTAGTCCAGGAGGTAGTCCAGGTGCTGCATTGGAAGTTGAGGTCACTTCAGACATAGTAGTCTCCGGGCTCACCTCATTCTCCGGTTGGCCGCTCGTGTCGCTGGTCGATAGGCTGGGCACCAAATCATCATCATCTAATCCAGGTGGTGTAAACACCTCAAAATCTGGATCTGGAGATGGTTCAGGCAGTTCTGGAAGTTGTGGTGCACCATGATCAGCGGTTCCATCAGCAAATCCTCCTGGGGTAGCAGCCATTCCAGGTGGTGCTGGATGTTCTTGTCCAGGGGCTTCCAATGGCATCACAGTCGGGGCATCGGCCACGTCCACGTAGGGTGCTTGTCCATCAAACTTTGGCCGCAAATGCCTCGCTTCATCACCATCTCTTGAAAATGGTACTTGTTCCATTGGATTGTCCTCCTCTTCATCTGGTGATATCAATTGATATCTTCTCTTTCTGATCGGGCGTTGCTCCAGGATGTTCTTCTTGAAGATCTCCTCGGATGAAGATGGTCTGCACGATGTTTCTGCCACCAAAATGGTCACACCGCCATGGACCAACCACAGTGAGGCACGTCCTTCATATGCCAGGACGCGTGCCGGTCCATACCACTTTCCTTTTCTCTCAAAATTGACCATGTTGCCCACACGATATGGTCCCCTGATGGGTGCAGCTTTGCGCAGCATCGCTTTTCTGATCTTCTGGGAGCTGTCCACCTGCATGAAAGCTTCCTTGGCAGCTTGACGAATGAGCAGCTGAATCATAAATGATTCTTGTGGGGTCTTCTCCTCCTCCATATCAACCAAGTTCTGGTGTAGACCCAATTGCCTTTCTCCGTCATGGCTAACCAAGCTGCTCCAATCAGTTGGTGTGTGTCCTAAGACCCACTGTGCAGGGCTGAAACCTCCCAGGTTGATTGTCACATTTTTCACACGCGATGCTTCGGCACACAAGGCTGACATCGCTTCAGCACCGGCCAGTTGTCTGTTGTGAATGGCCTTCTTCATGATGGCCTTCAGCAAACCACCATGTCTTTCGCCGATGCCAAGTTGGTGCGGTGCTTGTGCACCAATTCTTCTGATGTCCACGCCATGTGCCAAAAGTAGCCCTCGAACTTTTCCAGAATTGTGAACTCCTTGATCAGTTACCACAGCTCCAGGTGCACCAAAAGGTGTGGACCAAGACTGGTTCATGGCCTCAGCACAAATCTTCGAAGACGGTGTTCCTCCAGATCCAAGTCTCACTGCGATCTGGTAGTGCGTGGCCACATCCACCATACTCAGCACCGTGTGTCGAGCTTCCATGGCATCGTGGAGTTCGAAGACGTCAATCGACACCTCCTTGTTGAACTGCATCTGGTGGGGCTCCTTCATGGGTTTGACAACTCGTGGTCGATCTTGATTCTTGATCTCATCGCAGCTCGGGCATCTGAAGTATCTGGCTGCTTGAATGACTCGTCGGTCACAGCCAGATGCTCGCAACATGCGGATGAGGGCTTCCGTTGAGCAATGGCCCATCATCGCATGCAATCTCCTCAAGGCTATTCTTTGGTCCTTGCTGATCTTCAGCCAGTTGTCTCTTCTCACCTTCTCTTTGTGCGCCACGATCTCGTCGGTGTTGTCCACGTACTTCTCCTCATAGTCTTCTTCTCTGTCCAGCTAGCTCCTCCAGGTTGATCCGACGCCGTTTCGCAGGCATCTCCTCAGCGTCATCAGGTCCATGAATTCCATCAAGCGGACCCATTTCTTCTTGTTCTTCTTGTGCGGCTTCGGTCGCAAATGCAAGTTGCACCACTTGACTTTTCATCTCCTCAACCGCACCCATGATAATGGAGAAGCATAGGCTCTCAGGCCACTGCTCAGCCTTCTTCGTTCTCGATCCTCCTTCAAGTCGTTGATGTAGATGTTGCCCATCACAACGTAGTTGAAGGAGCTCTTTCATCTTGCGAGATGAGAGCAGTAGTCCTGTGGCCTTCTGGACTGGTAGACTTGTCTCCTCATCCATGAGGCCATACATGCATTGGTCAATCCTCACCAGCTCCAGGGGCTCGTCCGTGATGGAGTTGTAGACGGGCTCCGTGAAGAGGTCCTCCACACAACGCAATCGCCATAGAAGCGATGGCCATGGGTTTTCAGCCAGCACTTCACGGCCTTTTGCCAATCTCGCTCTGACGATCTTGGCTACCCACTGAAGGACAGGGTACCATTCTTTGCGCTGCTGGATGATCTTCTCCCTGGTGCTTTCATCTTTGGCCATGTTGACGTACTGCCAGCTGCTCCAAGGTCCACATACTGGGGCAAGTGTGAGCAAGAAAGGGTCTTCGTCCTCAATCAATTTCTCAAGGTGATCTCTGTTCGCCTTCTTCAAAAGGTTGTATCTGTCATCATAGGCGATGTCGATGGGCGGCGAGATGTCAAGGCCCATGTTGACAGCAAGGCAACTGAGGGTCGCCGCACCAGCGAAGATCTCCATGAGAAATGACTTACATCCCCTGGGCAGCATTCTCTTCGGCCTCTTGTAGTCCGGTGACAGCGTGGACCACATTGCGCAGTCTTCTTTCTCCACTTCTTCCAGTGATTCTTGAAGGTGTTTGCGTTGCTTACGCGTCATCACCTTGACTCTGCCCTCGGTGATGGGCATATAGTCGCTGCCACCACGATTGATCTTGTCCAACTCGTCATTGGAGAGCTTGTCCTCATACTTGGCCATGTCTTCATCCTCAGAAGTCTCGTCATTCTGTGCAACGTCCTTGAGATCAATCTGCTCCTCGGTGACGGCGAGCACGATGTTGCCAAGACCATGTTCTCCAGGATGAAGCACGATCGAAGGCAGGCCATTATGCATGATCAGCTCCAGCTCCTTATCCAGAGTCCTGCTGTAGATCGTCTGGTTCCCCATGTCAATCACCAGGCCCAATCGCTGTTGTGCACCTGCGCTGAGCAACAGTGGAGCATCTGAGTTTTCAAGCTCCACTGAGGTGATTGTACCTGGGACCATCTCATCATCCAAGCTCTTGAGGTGGATCGGAATCTCTCGTTTGCAAGCCACCATAACTCGGCCTCCAACACCCTTGAAGTTGCCGTCGGCCATCTCTGCCTTGGGGTTGAAGCCGGTCTTCTGCATGTACTTTATCATCCATCTGTCACCATGACAGGTGTTGTTGCAACCCGTGTCGAGGACTGCCATGATGCGGTCTTCATCCACTTGTCCAGGATGTTCAGCCACCATGTAGGCTCTCGAACCTGAATGTTCTTCTTCATGTCGTCGGGCCGCATACTTGGCAAAGTCGATGATGTGGGGGTTGCTCAAAGATCCATTCTTCAGCTTTCCGATCATCGCCTTGCGGTAGTTCATCTCATTGCAGTAGACATTGGCATAGGTGCGCCCATAGTAAGCGCCTGACTGCAGGATCTTGTCATCCAGTGCATGCACATCTTCAGCTTGGCCAGGAGTCGTTGGAGAGGGTGCCACCGAAGTTGGTGTTGCTGCCGCTGGTGCTGAAGATCTTGCTGCACTGCCACTTCTTGACCTCATTGGTTGAGCTTGCTGTCGTCGAGGATCATTGGCCACTGCACTGCGGCACCTGTCATAGATCTTGTCCAGCTGGTTGAGCGAGATCACCTGCCCCATTTCTCTCTGAACATCCACCACGTGCCTCACCAGGTCGACGATCCTGTCCACCTCATAGTCCTCCTGCGCTGTTGCCATCGTAGAGCCAGGTGAAACCTGAGGCGTCCTCAATGGCGTCGTCGGAGCTGGCGATACAGATCCTTCTGATCTGGCACTGGCGGCTCGGGCAGTTTCTCCAGGAGACTTCTCACCTGATGCGGTGTGCCCACAAGTTTTGCATCTCCACTTCCATGTGCTTCCGGTGGTGCCTCTGTAGTCACGGTCATCGTGAGGGCATTCTTTGGGAGATGTTGTCTTCATCTTCTCCGCAGGTGTGAGCTTCTCCTCATGCAAGACCATGCCGCAGTCTTTGCACTTCAGGATCCTCTTACGGTCATTGGATCCATGCGTCGTGGTTCTGGCATGGATGCATTCAGTAGATGTCGGGGTAGATGGTGTCATCAGGCTCCCTGGTGTCTGGTCAGGGTCGATGCCGTACTTCTTGCGCAGCCTTTGTGATCGGTCATGATCATCTTCAAAGAGATCTCTGTCCATCTCGTCCTCGGGTATGGGGCTCATCACATGTGCTGGTAGATGAGGCAATCCCTGTCGCGCCTTTGCATCCCACCTCACCAAATTGATGCGGTCGGACTCACAAAAGAGTGGATGCCCTGGCACTCGCTCATTCCACATCTCCTGATACGCATCTTGCCAATCTGGATCTGTGTGGTCGTTGACAACCTCCAGGTAGTACTCCAAATAGGCCCTTCGTTCAGGTGAGCATCCCCAGGCTGAGAAGAATGGGGTCTCAGGCTCGTTGATCAGCCTCTCATGCTCATTCAGCAGCCTCTGCATCATCTGAGGTGCCAATGGAATGTTCTCCACTGCAAAGGGTGCCACCATTTGCCACGGCTGTCCTTGTCCATCTTGTCCAGCATGTCCATGAGGTAGACCATGTAGATCTTGTCCTTGATGTGGAACTCCGTGAACTTGTCCTGCTTGAAGCCTCATGGGAACTTGATGAGCTCGATCTCGATGGTCTCGATCCAGTTGCGCTTGGGCAATCATTGCATCCAGCATCTCATCTGCTGTCTTCTCTGCATCCGTCAGGTTGCCTGTCACCATGTAGCTGCTGGAGTCTGCAGTGGTGTGCTCGTCATACTCATTGATCGCAAAGTAGACGGTGCGCTGCTTGGGCTCTGATCCCTTGCTTTTGTGGGACTTGTTTCCCTTCGTCGATGCCGTACTTGTCGTAGACGTTGTAGATCCCTTGCCTTTCCCTTTTCTGGATCCCTTCGGGCAGATCGGGTCGTTTGCCCAATGTCCAACTTGTCCACATTGCCGGCAAGAGGACTTTGACTTCAGTGCCTGGATGCGCTGTCTCTTTTCCTCCAAGCTCAGGCTTCCATGTACCTGGAATTGTCGGCCATGTCCCTTGCCCCAAAAGCCATAGTGGCCTGTGGACTGTGCGCGCAACCGCGCATGGTAGGCCTCTGATTCCGCCTGAAGGATGTCGGCCGCATGCTCGACCGCCTCTGGGTCTTCTTCATCAAGACCTTCATCAACCATTGCCTGGTAGGCCATGTGGATGGGGTCGCCGTCATCCATGTAGGGCTCCGCAGTCTCGGCATGGTACACAGTGGTGTCGTCGATGTAGTCCTCGTAGCCACCAAGGGACTGTGAAGCGCTCTCCCATGTATCCTGCTGGTCGTCATCCTCAACGAAGTAGGAGCGCCACTTGCCTTTGGAAGGGTTGCTCCCTTTTCCAAAGCCCTTGAAAGCTGAGGACTTGTAGCCCTTTCCAAAACTGCTGCCCTTCTCTTTCTCGTGAATCCTGCTGTGCTGGGCCACGAGCTCTTCGCAGACCTTCTCCCAGTCCATGTCGCCCTTGATGGCCGTCCTGATCAGCAACCTGTGGTCATCGCTGATCCCTGCATTCATCAGCAACTGCTCGGCCAAGATCCCTGGTGGGAGCTTCAGGTCTGGGTCCAGGTCCGTCATCATTCTGTACCAGGCACGTCTCCTCAGAACGTAGCTGGCGATGGATTCTCCACGCTGTCTGCTGAGAATCCCGCCATTCTGTGCCCCGGCTTGGTACAGATCCCTGGCCTCCTGCTTGCTCCTCGGTGCTAAGGAGCTATTCAGGCTCTTCAGCAGGAATTCCACTCCTTTCTCCTTGTTGGCGAGCTCGTCGACGGGCAAGGTGCGCGCCACCTGAAGAGCTGCTCCACGAAGTCCATCAACTAGCCGTAGAGCGAGAGGTCCAAGCTTCTTCACCTCGTCCTCGGCCATGCTGAGCTCCCTCGCCTGTCGAAGGCGAACCCTGAAGGCGTACTCGCTGAGTCGTGCTGGGTCTCCATCAAACCTCGGCACTCCAGCTTTGCCTTCTGTTGAAGTCGATTCCTCAGTCGTAGTGCTGAACGTAGTCCATTTCAGGACTTCCAGTATGGCCATGGCGCAAATGCGGGGCCACTGGCAAGGTTATGAAGTTGGGGGGGTTCCCACGTGTGTTTGAGGACCAAACCAAAGGCTTTATCCCCGGAGTCTGAGCTCCGCTGCCAGTATGAAACTGACAACCAAAAGTGCCAACAACACAAGATTCCCCGTGCTGCCTTTTGTTGCCGCATGCTATGATGTAGCTTGAGCCACCGGGCACGGTGGAAGAGGTCAGGTGTCACATGTG